CTGTTATCTACGTTCGGCTTTTGATCCCCCGATATAAACGTGTCAGTAATATAATAAGTCTATCTTAACCAGTTCCACGAACGTATTGTGCAAACTAAGTGTAATTACGTCAAGAAAGGTACAAAAGCGAGTTGCATCAGATTCCTAGCTCCGTTTGGGTTCTGATCCCCGATATAACCGTTTTTAGTGGCTGCAACGTCTAAATCTGAAACTTCAAAGAAGCGTTCTAATGACCTATCTCATTGATATCCATTCAGCAAACTTTTCGCCAAATTTGAAGTAGTCACTATCTAATTGAGTAATATTCTTTTAAAAGTTTTTCTTGAGGTAAATGACGTCCGATTTTAAATTGAAGCTATAGACGCATTCATCAACTATTCGCAAAAAAGCAATGTATGTTACGTAAGGCTAGGTGGTGCTGACTCGTCCTGAGTAGCTGACCCATTATCAGTTTTGATGTTGAACAATAAGGTAAACCATTCATAATGAATGGAGTGGCTTGCATTGCCACAGGCAAAATTTATGGGGGCGGACAGTGGGAATATCGGCTATTGCTGCCAATGCCATTGGCAGGGTAAATAATATTCACCTGCTACAGCAGATCTGTGTTTGCCGATATGCCACACTGTGGGATGCCTCCTCGTGGCGCCCCCGGAGAGATGGTTGCCTGACTTCGAATGAAGTTCACATAGCAGTTCGCTGCATAATTATTTTTTTAGTTTCTATTTTGTCTGTTTGAAAAGTGGTTATAAGATCAATGCAGAACGTCTCATACGATCATAAATGTACGACTTGTATTGCGCTTTATAATGAGACTTCTTGACGCTTGATAATTGTTGATACCCAGCACGTTTCTAGCAGCTAACTGTTGTTAAAAATAACTTTCGCACGCAACCATCTCACTAAACGTATCCCGCTATCTCAAGCTATTCTTAGTGTTTGTTGTATTCATTACTACACGCAAATAGCATACAGGATATACCTATCTCCAAAATTATGCCACGTGCCAGGACAGACGGGACAGACCGTTGCCGGGCAATACAATAAGACATTTTTATACGGCTACCACATGGTATGGGTCAGATATGGGGCGATTGAAAAGCACGTGCCACGTGGAAACGTGTTTGATGAGGAACTTCGTGGAAAATCCGAGGATGCGCTTTGATTGAGGGTGGCTGCTTAAACGGCAGAAATAAATGCACCACACTTGCCGCACGGCGCCATATTTGTCTTAATAGGTCAGTGTTTGCGTTTTGCGGACGGCGTGTGTTTTTTGCGGCGGGGTTTGCGTTTGGTGGCGGGCGGGACTTTTCCGTTTTTTTGTGGTGTTTGCGTTTCGCGGCGGGCGGCCGTTTTTGCGGCGTTTTGCGGTTGGCGGCGGGCGGGCGTTTTTGCGACGGTATTTGCGTTTTTTGCGTTGTTTGTGTTTGGCGGCGGGCGGCAGTTTGAGGCGGGCGGCGTTTTGCGGTTTGCGGTTGCCGGCGGGCGGCCGTTTTTTGCGGTGTTTTGCGGTTTGCGGCGGGCGGCCGTTTTTTGCAGCGTTTTGCGGTTGCCGGTGGGCGGGCGTTTTTGCGACGGTATTTGCGTTTTTTGCGTTGTTTGTGTTTGGCGGCGGGCGGCGGTTCGCGGCGGGCGGCCGTTTTTTTGCGGCAGTTTGAGGCGGGCGGCGTTTTGCGGTATGCGGTTGCCGGCGGGCGGCCGTTTTTTTTTGCAGCGTTTTGCGGTTGCCGGTGGGCGGCCGTTTTTTTCGGCGTTTTGCGGTTAGCGGCGGACGGCCGTTTTTTGCGGCGTTTTGCGGTTAGCGGCGGGCGGCCGTTTTTTTGCGGCGTTTTGCGGTTGGCAGCGGGCGTTTTTTTGCGGCGGCGGTGTTTGCGTTTTTTTGCGGTGTTTGTGTTTTGCGGCGGACGGGCGTTTTTTGGCGTGCGTGTTTGGCGTGGCGTGTTTTTTTTTGCGGCATTTGCGTTGGCGTTTTGGGCGTGCGTTTTGCGCGTTTTGCGGTGTTTGCGTTTTGCGGCGGGCGGGCGGTTTTTCACAATTAAAGTCCCAACCTTCGGATCCGCAGAGCTGTTCGACAAGCGCTGCCCGGGCCTAAGTACAGGCAACATATTATAATTTTCTGTAATCTGTACCTTCTTTGTCGCTTGCTTGCCGTAATGGTTATGTTTATATTTTCATTTTTGACTCTCATATTCATAATTTTTATTGTTATTCAGCAAATAGGGATAAATTAGGAAAGCTCTTTAACTAAACATGCAATTATCAACATAGAAAGAACGTTATACACCTAAAATCTTGGGAATGTTTCGATTGTATTCTTTTTTGATAGTTACGGAGCGAGCGAAGCGAGCGTAGTCTTTCCTTAACCCGCGCCGTGCTGGTGGCCTGAACTTTCCGCCGAGTGCTGGGGGGGGGGGGGGCGTTTTCACGCCCCCCGTCTAACTCGGCTCCTGGGCCACGTAGCGACACGCGGTAAGCGGCAATCGAAAGAGCGTCGAAAATAAGGACGAAAACACTTCGGTCATTTTTTGGGTCAGGTCAAAGGTCAGGTCACCAGAGGTCACCAAAGGTAAAATGTTGACTATTTCAACATTTTGGAAACTGCCAACGGCTATCTCGGGAACCGATAGAGCTACAGCGCCGCGGAAAAGCGCATTCGATAGCCCTTTTACAGACCTTTCTGAGTAATGTTCTCAGATTTGACCTCAGGTCAACGGTTTAGCCTCCAGAGGGCAAAAACTCCAAAAATAGCCGTTTTTACGAAAAACGTTTTTTCGTCAATAACTTTTGACTCATAAGCGCCATGATATTACTTTTGCCAGCATCGTGTTCCTCTCGTCGAGACGCGTCGAATGAACTATTCGTTGACCTTGAAAGGTCATTTTGAAAATTTGACCTCAGGTCAAGGTCATGACCTGACCGAAAAGGGTCATGTTGCATATCAGTCGATCCGTATCGTCGAGCTGAACACATCTGACGTGTTTTCACCGCTCTAGCACGTCTCTATCAAAAGTTATAGCCAAAAAACTGCTGGCGACCGTTCATGACCTGAGATGACCTTAGGGGCACACAGAGGGGTCACAGGTGCATTTTTCCTATTCAGTGTGTCATGTTTACCTATGAACCGATGTTTGAGAGCGTTTTGAACGATATTCGTCCAAAAGAGGCGCATTTCAATTTTCTCCCATTGACTTATAATGGAGAGGTCGCAAAATTGACCTGACCTTAGGTCACAGATATCAAAAATCCGAGATATACATTTTATACATACTGTTACTCATATCAATCGCTGAAAGTTTCAAAGTGATCGTTCAGTCGGTGTAGCTATAGCGAGCCTTTGAACTTTTTCTGAGGTAAGGTCACTTGACGTGACCTGGTGACCTGACCTTGAACGGCCTAGGTCTGAAATTTTCACAACATGTGCGGAAATGATGTAGGAACACGTGTACCAAAAACGGCGGCGCTGCGCGCCGCCGTTTTTGAGATATTCGCGAAAAACCTGAGGGGGGGGGGCGTAAAAACGCCCCCCCCAGCATGGCGCGGTAGATTAACGGAAATTTCCGAGTATGAGCGGCCGGCCGGCCGTGCGGACGCTTTTGCGAGGCTTATATCTCAGCAACCACTTGACCGATTTACATGCGGTAATTTTTGTAGGGTAGCTTCATTCCTTCTACCAAGTATTGGACTATTCCCGATGCATGTGGGTCACCCCTTATGCACGTGCCACGTGCAAAACAAGGAGGTGTCAGTTTTGTAATTGTTGCAATATCTCGGTAACTACTTGGCCGATTGCGCTGAAAGTTGGCATGTAGGTAGGCACCCACTAGGCACTGCATATCCATGTGCCAGAGTTGGGGTGCTGCTGCACGTGCGCACGTGCAGGGGTCGTTTCCAGATCTCGAGAACGGCTGGACCGATGGCGCTCAAATTTGGTACACGGTTAGGGACCAGTTCGTAGGGTGCTGTGCACAAGTCAGTTGTGACCCATTTTGCACGTGCGCACGTGCAGGGTGCCGCTCCCAGATCACGAGAACGGCTGGGCCGATTGTGCTCAAATTTGGCACATCGCTAGAAACCGGTCAGTAGGGTGCCGTACACAAGTCAGTTGGAGGTACCCCCTCGAAATTTCGCACGTGCAAGACTCACCCCCTCGCTCGCTCCGTTAGTCGCCCCAAAAGGCGCTATACTGGTATTAATGTCTCATCTAGCAAGCTGCAGCCGAGGATCCGCGTGGCGTGTGCCATCACTCAAACTTTGCTATCTAACGAGAAAAGCCGCCTGAAAACATCGCCCGAGCCCTGTTCACCGGTATGCATTTAGATCGAATGTTTAGCGCGTCACTGCCTGGCTCCTCCTCGGGTCTAGAGGGTCCCTCCCCTCTGCAGGTGTTAACCGGCTGCATGTAAATAAGCGAGTAAAGGCAGTCTGTATTTTCCGTACTCGAAGATGCGAAAGTCATCAAGTCCTTAAATGAACTGTCCCACACAAAGGACACTTAGTTAATTTGGTAGGTATTTAAATAACAAAGTAGAAGTAAACATTGACGGGCTTTAGATATGCAACTAAAAATGGCTAGCACATCATTTTACTATTCAAAGAAATGCACAAGCCAGCTTTGGATAAATTACTCATTAATTTTACATTGCGTATTATTTATTGATCCTTGCAATGCATTGCCATTCAAAAAGAAATGAATATTGTCCGTAATGGAGCGCTTCGTTTTTAAAAGCCCACTAAGAAGCTTTTGTTTATGTATAGGGCAATAAAGTGGGGCATGCCATCACAGTCAAGTTTTATTATCGGACACCAAAAATGCAACAACGCCATAAATGCACGCAGCTCGCCTTAGCAGCACCGCATCGACACTGTAAAATACCAGCAGACTTTAAGAAACCCTTTGAAATCGTAGTGTGTCTCCGGCAGCCTTGCTAACAATGGCAATTGTCACCACCTTTTGACTGCGACGGCTAAATCCACCGTCGTCCCCGCTTTGTGCCCAGGCAGCAAAGTTCAAAGGCTTACCTTGATGTAAGACACGGGCGGCAGAGACTTCTGTGAATTGGCGTGCTGCGTTGAGAGCGTGAGCAGAGAGGTCACTCCCAAGGTGACACGGGCCGGCACAGCCTCCGGCCGGATCCAGAACGAGATCCAAGACATGATGACGATCAGACACGTCGGGATGTACGTGTGGAAGAGGTAGTAGCCCAGGCGGCGGCGGAAGGTGAAGACGACCTCCACGCAGGTAAAACTTCCTGGAAGATGCAAAGATACTGTGCGTGAGCACTGATGCCTTCATTACATTTGTAGTGATTAACAACGAGTACATACTACGTAGTTTGCGTGTTGTTTGTTCACATGTTTTCTGGTTTCGTGTAACTTTTCTCGTGAAATACGACAAAGAGAAGCATTAAGACTGCACAATATACCTTAAAGAAACTCAGTCTAGACTAACCGAACTTCATTTTCAGAAAGAATAAACGCATTATCCACATCACCTGCCTCCAAACTAGCCCTGGATTGCATTAGACCGAACCACCTGACGCATCATTTCGTTAGACATGTCGAGCGTGATCCCGTCTGCATCCCTAATTGCTGCGGCAGAGTCAGGTCTAAATAAAGCCGGTCTCGGCTGTCTGCGGCCACGGCGCACTTCCTTCACCCTCTCCAGGCAGCCAGCCGCGCTGAGCCCCTATTGAGGGCCAGGCAGGCGTAAAGAGCACCGGAGCCGCACTCACTCGGCCCGGCCCGGCGCGGCGTGGGGCGGACCAGGGCGGTAGGCTGGGGGCATTCCACGTCAAATCGAACAAAAATCGGCTGTTTTGCCCCTTACCATCAGCGATTTCATTATAAATTTGTGAGCGAGTTCCTGTGTCGCCCCGGACATTACATTGATGTTTTTTGCACATTCTGACCACAGGTCTTCTAAATATAGGGCATCAAATTTTTACAAAATGTTGCATCTTTATATTTTTGAACGACCATAACTTTGGTTGTACTTGTTTGATTTGAATGAAATAAACTTTACTGTTTAGGTAATTTCTTAAGCATTTGTTTAGAATTGCATCGACTTAAATATATGACCTTGAAATTTGCTTAACTCTGTTCTTAAGCACAAAAATTGAAATAGCAAAAAACACGCCACCTTTGATTTGGCTCATTTTCATATATTTTATTGCCTACCATATTCTTAACAACCTGTGAAAACATTAGAGTGGGCCATTCATAAGTTTTGAAGAAAATGGCACTTATGCAAACGTATGTTAGCAAGCGCAGTGGAGGGGGAAGAGTGAATTTCGCCCCACCCCTCCTGTTTTTCGCCAATATCTCATAATATTGATGCGAAATTACTTATGGCTACCTGGCCAGAATTGAATTGCACATCTCATCGTGCAAGCAATAAGAAAATCGGTTCACAACTGTTCTAGTAATAGCGGTGTAAAGTGAACATCCTGTCGCCGCGGCGACGCGGCGACTCGGCAGCCGGCGCCGACCGCTACGCGCCGCCTGAATTGTAGACTGTGCCGGGACGGAACGGAACGGTTCCGTCTTTACATCGCGCTCCTTACCGCTGATTACGTTCGATTCGCGTCAAATTTTGTGAGAAGACTAAGAAATGTACAGGCAATCTTATGGTGAAAGAATTCTGAAAATAGGTTGGTAAACAATTGAAATATGAACGTGTAAACACAAAATTGTGACTGCTGCGTTTCCCGCTTCGGCCGATCCCGCCTCAGCCGGCGACATGTTACTCTTAGCAGGACTCTAACTGCCATATTTATTATCGGATTAACTAGAAATTCATACATAGAAATCCATACATACTCAAAAATGTATGTTCTTTCGTATAGTGAAGATCAAAAGACGTGAAGATATCGTTGCGTGATAATGTTTTCGTTGAATTTATTTCATGATGCATTTCCACACGGCTCAAAATTCACCGCAAAATACCGTTTGCCTGAGACACTTTTACAATGGAACGTGAATGCTTGACTACGATGACTATGCATTTCCATTCTCGCAGAGTTTGGGATATCACTAATCAGCAATCATTCATTTCAGAAAGTGTACACAAGCAAGCATGTCTTGACTCTGTCTTTCAAGGTCACGCGCGGTTGCGTGATGTTGATGCATGAAAACGGCGTTTGCCGCGAAAGTTATGAATGGCCCACTCCAATTTTTTCACAGATGGTTAGGAACATTGTGACGGACATAATATGTAAAAATTACTCAAATCGAAGGTGGCGTGTTTTTTCCTATTTAAATTTTTCTGTTTTAATTCAAGGTCAAATGCATTTCAAGGTCACTTCAATTTTATTTTATAATTAAAAATCAAAGCCTTATCAATTGCCTACAAGACCCTGTTAATATCATTTTGATACCAGAAAAGGAACCAGAGTTATAAGCATTTAAAAAAATGATGTGTGGCATTTTTGGCTATATTCGATGACCTATATCTCGGCGATACGTTATCAAATTTCGAAAATATTATACGTAACTCAGTTTTGAACCATGCCCAGTCTGCCTACAAATTTTTAGAAAAATCGAAGGGGATGACGGATTTCGGTGTTTGATTTGACGTGGAATGCCCCGCTGGGGAAGCTCTGAGCGGGGAGGTGGGGCATGGGCTTGAGGAGCTGAGTGACGAGCGACGGAGGCTGTGGAAGCTCGGGTGATAAAGACTGGGGTGGAGGAGTTGGGACGAGAGGTGAGGAGGGAAAGGCTTTGAGAGGGGAAGAATGTAGTTCTCAGGATCAGCGGCTCGAGAGGCTGGTGTTAACGCTTTCGTGGCCGATAGAAACTCGAGATAGTGATGACGATAGGAGAATGAGACCGCTGACGGGTGGTTAAAGCTCCAGTGTCAGGCATTCGCTTAGCGCAGGAAATCAAAGGCAGCAAAAGGCGACAGGGGAAAGCCGTAGTAGCTGTTCACCGATAGTTCACGTCAGCCTGCACTGATACCTAATATAGCCTACAAAATACAAAAACAAATGACTGATTAAAGAGGACATCCATGAAGGTAGCGTTGTTGAAAAACTGTAATTCGGGCGCGACGTGCGGCGAGTGACCCGTGGTGCAGACGACCCTCGACTGACCGGTGACCTCGACTGACCGGTGGCGTAGATGTGGGTGCAGTCGCCGGTGATGTTGGAGACTAGATCCAGCTGCGGCAGTTCGATCGGATCCACCTCCAGCGGCACGTTAGGGTCCCACAGGAACACCAGGTCGTCGGTGGTGTGAGACACTGTGAATAGAGCACACAGATGGGAGCCAGGGACTACATAAAATCCATTGAAAGCTTATGTTTAGGTATAGACAAAACATTACTTAGCTTACAAAAATATGAACTTCGTATGTCATTGAAATTAAAAGTTGTTTATAGGGCAACTAACAGCGGCTGATATATTTCTTATTTAGCTATTTACAACAAGGAAACGGTGAGCTGTGAACGAAACTGCTTATAAAGTCCGATTGCGTGCCTCCCTAGACACAACATCACCCCGTGAAGTTGTTTGCTTTTCAACAAACAACCGTCCAGTCCACAGCTTTCTCGGCGTTGAAAACACCTTCAATAGTTAACAACTCAGCATCAACATGCCAAGCCCGCACGCGCACTTAACTCGGAAATTACTTACAGCTTTCAATTTTCATCGAGCACTGCTGCATGTCGTGGGGGTAGTAGTGAAAGTTCATAGCGCAGGAGAGCACCAGCGTTAGCCTGCGGACGGGAGGGGGAAGTTACAGGTCAGAAGGTGGTAACACAAAGCGGTTCTGGGGCGAACAAGTGTGTCACAGAGCCGCGTCTTGTTTGTCGGTCACATACCTGGGACTTTCTTTAGCCTTGCACACTGCCGCAATTCACAAGGCATTAACCCGCGCGGGGCTGGGGTCTCCAGCCGAACGCGCGGGGCTGGGGGGGGGGGTAAATTTTACCCCCCCCCCCTGTTATCTCCCGAACTAATGGTCCGATTTGGAAAATTCAAACGCCAATCGAAAGCTCTCATCACGAACTACTAAAAACATGTACTTAATTTAAAGTTTAAGGTCAAGGTCAAGGTCAGGTCAAGGGTACAAATTGCAAGTTTCTACAGTATCGGCCTTGCACCGTAGTTGCCGAAGAATGGAGTCATGGACTGAGACTGATCGCCCAAAACGTGTTCTTAGGCTACCAAGACAATACTCGTTGCATACAATATCATTCAGAGGTCAAGGTCAAGGTCAGGTCAGGTCAGGTCAGGTCACCAAAAACAAAATATAGAAAAGGGCATGTGCGACACATGTTTTATGGGTCATTTTACTCATAGAATTCAATAGGCACACTCAATAAGTGATATGGACCACCTCTGGATGAATTTCAGGTCGAGGTCAGGTCAAGGTCAGGTCAAGTGAGGTCAAATTTTGAAGTTGGTTGTTAAGGCCTAAAAAGGTGTCTATCTGATGCAGTTTTTCACGGCGAATCGAATGGTGCTATTTTTGTTTCCGTACGAGGTCTAGAACTTCCAAAAAAGTCATTTTTCAAAAATTTTGTGTGTCGTGACGTCATAAAATTTTGAATAACTCCCACATTTTTGAACCGATTCTTCTAAAATTTGGTATGTAGGTGCACATAGACCACTTCTCTGACATATATTCCGGTTTTTTTCGATAGACTCAAAATTTTGGATTTTATAATGATTTTCCCAAAAAAGTCAGTTTTTTGAAAAAATTTAGGCCAAAATCCAAAATTTTCAAAAAACCGAGATAGCCATTTGATAGACAAAGTAAAATTACGTATAACCTTTTTTGTTACGTCTTGATTCCTTTAAAAATGAAGATGTTAGCGACGTTTGAACTTTTGCCGTTTTTGAGGCGAAAATGGCGAACATGACGTCACTAAAACGTCAATTTCTCAAAAATTTTCGGACGGATTTCGCTCAAATTTTCAGGGAACGTGTCAAATTGATGTAAGAAAAGGTACTGAAAGTTTGGCGGCGCTGCGCGCCGCCGTTTTTGAGATATCGCAAAAATTCGCGAGGGGGGGTAAAATTTACCCCCCCCAGCCCCGCGCGGGTTAATACAGGCAAATCAAATCACTAATTGTTATAACTTCCTCGATTGAAAAGCATATAAAAACAACAAAATATTTATTTTTTGTTTGCATGTTATGCTGACGGTAGGTATATTTGAATCAGGGCTGCGGAGTCGATGGATTTTCGGCGACTCCGACTCCGACTCCGACTCCGGCTTTCAAAAACCAGCTCCGACTCCGACTCCGACTCCGGGCAGAATTGTCGACTCCGACCGACTCCAACTCCCGACTCCAACTCCGCAGACCTAGCAGGGCTGCGGAGTCGACAGATTTTCGGTGACTCCGACTCCGACTCCGGCTCGGGTTTCTAAAATCGACTCCGACTCCGACTCCGACTCCGGTCACAACTGTCGACTCCGACCGGCTCCGACTCCGACTCCGACTCCGACTCCGCAGCCCTGATTTGAATAATGCCAAACTTCTTTAGTTTGAGTAACGCTTTTGAAATCGAGATAAAGATAAGTTCCTATAATTATTTTTCCTTAAAATACCTTTTGCCAATTTTCTGTGACCCAGTTTGAAGGTCCTTCGTCCTTGGGGACAATGATGAACTAGAAAAGGCGCTCGTGTGGCGAGTAGTGTGACCGCGCTCAACGCAAACGCTCGATATCTGGGACAGCTTTTTCACAGCGACAAGAAGCCTAGCGAGGCCGGTCACCAATGTGGCGGCACTATCATACCAGCATTGAGTGCATTGCGCCACATGTTGAACGGCCAACTCATAACAAGGATGCATTGGGTGTAAATTTGCGGCTTTGCGCAGTACCTATATAGTTAATCGTTGCCACGCTATGACATATTGATGTATGCAGGGCACAAGAGCCTGACTGTGCTGCATGGGCGTAGGAACGGCTGGAACATTGTGGGTGCATGGGTGCAGAAATCCAGCCATGGCCGGTGAAGCGGGGGGGGGGGGGCGACACCCGAGCGAAGGCTCGTTACGAGCTTTGAGGGTGTACCATGTCGAAAAGGTACCAACCGATAAGTGCATTTGGAAGCATTGACCCTCGCATGTGTACGGGGGTCGGATGAACCCTCCCCCCCCATGGTTGTTCGCAAATAACTCGCGCAAAAAGCGGCCGATCGCGACGAAACTTTTAGTACCCTCGAGTTTATCAGTTTTACACCTACTCTAAAAATTTCATGGCCCTGACCCAAAAGACCTTTGACCTGTGACCTGATTCTCGAGACCATGTTCGGCCGGAATCGCGATTTGGCGTATGTCAGCTCACATTATCCGCGCGTTTCCAGTCTTTTTGTGATTGTAGACGTCCAAACATGTGAAATGCTGTTCTTCCCATGCATCACGGTGGGTGTGAATATAACCTGAAGGTCAGGTCAGGTCATTGACCTTTGATGACCTCGGTTCACTTTTTCGAGTTTTACATGTTTCTAGGGTAGTTTATAGGGCTGATTTCGAATTTAGCGTCCATTTGAACGTTTACGAAGTAGTTTTAGTGCTTTCGTGACATGCTACGACGCCGTCAGTGGTAGTTGACACCTACTATAGTAGGTGTGGATAGCCATATATGGATAGCCGGTAGGACGCCTAATGGTTGACCTGACCTGACCTGACCCGATCTGGCCTAAATGCATGAAGAAATCATCTGTGATCAAAACTAACATCAGATATTTGTGATCAGCACCCCAAAAAAAACGATAACAGCTTCACTTTACGCAGTTCTAGCAGGTCTCGATTTTCCCGACTTTTGGAATATTGACCTGACCTGGAAGGTCAACCAATGAAGTAGGACCTTAAAATTGGGTATCATCGGCTTCCTCTCGTCACGGGCAACACCCTCGTTTTTCCGCGAAGCTCTAGCTCGATCAGGGGCCGAACGGCAGGGGGTCCGACCGACCCCCTCCCCCTACACATTAGAAGCTGGAAAACGCTGCACACATTCGAGGGCTAATATTGTCAATATTGACTACCGCAAAAAGTAAAAGCGGCCAACTTAGCCATTTTCGAAGATATCGGGCTAACATTTTTGATAGTGGGTCATCGGTTCGGTATGTGTTCAATCACATGCTCTATTTCTCTTTTTCAGCACAAATGTAAGTTTTGAAGACCATCACTGATCACAGTAGCAAATGCTTCGAAAGATGAATAGTAGGCAACATATCCATGAATTTGCCGTGCTGCATGGGAAGTAGTGTTGATGAAAAAGGGGTTTTTGGTTCAGATTATTGTGGGTGCAGAATACATTGTCTGCACCCACTGGATAAATATTGTGGGTGCAGCTGCACCCTTGCACCCATGGTTCCTACGCTTATGCTGTGCTGCAATGTCGAAAATACCGTTTGACAGCTCACAGCAGGGCGAGGCAGTAAACATTGTCAACAGCGCACCCGATATCCAAGCAACTATCGAAGATGTTGTTTTCCTTGGTACTTACTTGACCATATAGAGGATGCTATTATCGTTGTAAAGCCACACATAATGATTTGGTATAGTCATCTCTTGAAAGGTGACCTGCTTGGCATTTTTGAAGTAGGAGTCTGGATGCCAGATTTCCTTGAGCCAGTGAACTGGTAAAAGCCTGTAGTATCCGGTTTGGTTTTGCATCTTCTGGTTGAACCTGAGCCGTTCATCTCGCCAGCTCTGCGCAAAGAAGATGTCGGCAGCGTACGTCTGGCAAAAAGAGAACAAGTCACGGTCAGGCTAAATTATAGTCAGGTAAGAAGTCACGAGAAGTTAAAAGGCGAGGTTTCGTCAGCCCCTCTCTCGCAGTAAAATATTTTGAATACGTGCTTTTCTGACTTTTGACCTTTATCAAACTCCATTAGTGGATATTTCGAACCAACTTTGAAACTTCAAAACAGTGTTGAAAGCTGACGGCATGCTTCAAAGACGTTAACCCGCGCCGGGCCGCACACTGGTCGGAAACGCCCTCACGAGAGGCCACGGGCGATTCCGGAGTTTCGGATTATTTTTTATATAGATAGATTTGAAATTGATCAAATTATTATACTTAGGCCAAAAAAACTAATCCGGGTGACCAAAAATAGCTGTAATCAGCCCCCGAAGATGGGGTATCCCAGAACTCGGAAACTGACGCGGAGCAAGAGGTTTCTTGAGCCGGATATTCAGAGTCTTATTGCTGATAGACACCAAATTGAAATCCCACATATTATGCATCAAAATGTTCGTTATGAAGTTGCCGACTGGTCAGTGCAAAATTTTTGGTATACTTTTTCCCTAACTAAGATGTACTATAGCTTTTTTATGAAGGCTCTCCTACAGTGATTCTGGAATATAACTGCAAAGTTTAGGTAAGGAAACAACAGGTAGTCCCATCTAGTTCCACTCTGATTTTTTGTGAGATGAAGTAGGATTTAAATTTACACCAGGGCAACATAAAAGCTAACTGCGCATATTTGCGCAAAATTTGCAGGAGCCGCTCTTCCTACCCAACTACAGCCCGCCCCGCCCCAGTTTCGGCTCGGCCGCCGCGCCCGGCTTACGCTGACCTGTGTGGCCTGCACGCATCCATGCGTAGTTGACTGGTCATTAAAAACAGATGCGCTTGAGTTTATGAATTTTGTGAAAAGCGCGTTTTATGTATGCATTTATGTATGTATTGACATCAAAAGCCTTCCACATATTGCGTGGCGATTACGGCTTGCATTTAGAGAGCCTTGCTATTGACAACCATCACTCGGCTGAAGAAAGTGGAAATTGAAACCTTCGTGAATATAAGACGCTGCAAATATAGGACACCTGTCACTGACGCCGGGTTACCTTGGGCCGTCTTTTTACATTAGATCACAATTCCGGTATTTAACCCTGGACGGACCCGCCATTGGTTTTCTACATTGACCGGGGAGGGTCGGTACAACTCCCTTCCCGTTTCGCCTCTAATTGAGCTAGAGCCTCGCGGAAAAAACAAACTGGTGTGCCGTTATAAGACGCAAAAATTAGGTACTACCCGATTTTAAGGTCTTAGGTCAGCCAGTGACCTCTTAGGTCAGGTAAGTGCCACAAGGCACGGGCTCGGTTTTAGGTTAATTACTTTGCCAAAAATGGTCGCACTGCCGCGATTTTGGCATAATCGTGTTTGTCTAGCTCAGGCGCGTTGAATGCTATACTTGGTGTTCGGGTGAAGTCAACTTAACTCTCGCCGGCACAGGCCATTTTGCGTCCTTCGACGGCACAAGGGGGGGGATTGGTACGACCCCCCTCGCGTTTGGCCCCTGATCGAGCTAGAGCCTCGCGAAAAAAAACGAGCGTGTTGCCCGTCACGAGAGGAGGCCGATGATACCCAATTTTAAGGTCCTAGGTCATCGGGTGACCTTCCAGGTCAGGTCAATGACCCGAAAACCGGGAAAATCGGGACCTGTTAGAAAGTCGTAAATTGTGGCTGCTATGTGGTTTTCCGGGGTGCTGATCACGAATATCGTATCAGTTTTGATCACAGATGATGTCTTTAAGCATCTAGACCAGGTCGGGTCAGGTAGGTCAGGTCAACCGGTAGGGGTTGTGACGGGTATTCGTAATACGTGTCAACCGTCTCTGACAGCTTCGTAACATGTTACGAAGGCGCCAAAACTACTTCGTAAATGTTCAAATGGTTGCTAAAAATGCTAAATTAGAATTCAGCTCTAAAAACTAGCCTAGAAACATGTAAAACTCGAAAAAGTGAACCGAGGTCACCCGAGGTCACCAAAGGTCAATGACCTGATCTTGCCTTTAGGTGACCTTGACACCCATCCTAATGTATGGGAGCACCATCAAATCACATGTTTGAACGTTTGAAACCACGAAAAGCTTGCAAACGCGCGGCTAATGCGAGCCGACATACGCCGAATCGCGATTTCGGCCAAACATGGTCACGGAAAAGAGGTCACAGGTCAAAGGTCATTGGGGTCAGGGTCATGAAATTTTGAAGGTAGGTGTAAAATTGATCAATGCGAGGGTACTTAAAGTTTCGTCGCCATCGGCCGCTTTTTACACGAGTTATTCGCGAAAAACCTTAGGGGGGGGGGGTTGCATCAACCCCCCTGTGCCGGCGAGGGTTAAGGTGTTAACCTCGGGTCAAGGTCAGGTCGGAGCCCCTCAGGTCACGAAAATGGTTGAAGGAGGTCATATTGCATATCATTCGATTCGGCAGGTCTTCCTGAGTCCAATGGTGGCTTTCCCGACTCTCTAGCTTCATCTGATCAGGAGTTATTGACGAAAAACTTACATGGCCTTAGTGACGTCATAAATGACGTCACGCAAAGTCAACAATGCTAAAGTCAAGCACTGGACCTTGCAAGGAGTGCATGAAACCATTCCCGGTGCCCGAAGAGCAGCTCCCAATTTCCCTTGTTGACTTAAAGTGGTGCTAGATCCTGTATTATACTCAATTATGACGTCATAACTTAACAGATTCACGTCATATATTTAGTGCTTGACATCCAAATGATAGCTTACATATGACAGAGAAGGTATGCAAAGTTTTATGAAGTTTGCTTCACTACTTGTGGAATAACAAGCAAAAAACTTTTGCGGAAAGGCCGCTGGCCTCTCGCTGGAGCGTTTCCGACCAGTGTGGGCCGGTGCTCTGAGATTCCGCGCCGGGCCGGGGGTGTCTGAACACCCCCCCCCCCCGTCTAACTCGGCTCCTGGGCCACGTAGCGACACGCGGTAAGCGACAATCGAGAGAACGTTCAAAATAAGGACAAAAACACTTCAGTTAATTTTTGGGTCAGGTCAAAGGTCACGTCACCAGAGGTCACTAAAGGTAACTAATGTTGACTATTTCAACATTTTGGAAACTCCCGACGGCTATCTCGGGAACCGATAGAGATTTAGCGCCGCGGAAAAGCGCATTCGATAGCCCTTTTACAGAACTTTCTGAGTAATGTTCTCAGATTTGACCTCAGGTCAACGGTTTAGCCTCCAGAGGGCAAAAACTATAAAATAGCCGTTTTTACCAAAAACGTTTTTCGGCAATAACTTTTGACTCAAAGGAGCCATGACATTACTTTTGCCAGCATCGTGTTCCTCTCGTCGAGACGCGTCGAATGAACTATAATTTGACATTGAAAGGTCAATTTGAAAATTTGACCTCAGGTCAAGGTCATGACCTGACCGGAAAAGGTCATGTTGCATATCAGTCGATCCGCAACGTCGAGCCGAACACATCTAAGGCGTTTTCAGCGCTCTAGCACGTCTCTGTCAGAAGTTATTAGCGAAAAACTGTTAGATTCTGTTGGTGACCTGAGATGACCTCGGGAACATAACGAGGGGTCACAATTGCCATTTTCCGGTTCAGTGTGTCAATTGTACCTACATCTCGATGTTTGAGAGTGTCTAGAATAGCGTTCGTGCAAAACAGACGCTTTTCAATTTTCTCCCATTGACTTATAATGGAGAGACCGCAAAATTGACGTGACCTTAGGTCACCGATTTCAAAATTCCGAGAACTACATTTTATAGATAATGTTGTTCTAAACAATCGCTGAAAGTTTCAAGGCAATCGATCAATCGGTGTTGCTATGACGAGCATTCTTATTTTTCTGAGGTGAGGTCACTTGGCGTGACCTGGTGACCTGACCTAAGGCGACCTGGGTCTGAAATTTTCACAACATGTGCGGGAAAGATGCACGAACAATTGTGCCAAAAACGGCAGCGCTCCGCGCCGCCGTTTTTGAGATATCTGCGAAAAACCGCAGGGGGGTGTTCAAATACCCCCCCCCCGGCCCGCCGTGGGTTAAACACCAGCGGAACGCATTCTTCGACGTACATAAAAAAACACGGCTCCAGCTTTCCTTACAGTCACACGTGTCGTCATTTAACTTTTATCTCTAATCTCTCGCTCCTGGTCAACTTTGCTTGATATAGGAATCAAGAGCGATCTCCCCACTTTGCCGACTTTATCGGATTCTATCTGCGGCGCGTGACCTCGGTACAATCCAATCAGGCACAAGCGGGGAATATAAAATATTCCCGCCTGTTTGGAAAATGGCGCCCAGCCACGGTTGAAGTTGGCTCGTAACTCCATATTCGAACCACAAGACCTAAGCCAGAAGCTGGGGTGGTATGCATATTTTGCAAGTCAAGTCAATGCACAAAATTAAACTAAGCCCTCTAATTCTCGTACGGAAAAAGTATTCAAAGAAAATCTACTACACATGCCTTCCCACTCAATAAAGCACAACATTTTCGTTGTTTGCACCGTCGCCGTGCTCCATTGTTCACTTTCCTTTACGACAAGGTTAAAAACTAGCTTTTATTCAATTCAATCCTTATTTGTTGCGTTCGGCTTTAAATTCGTTGAGCTTATTTCGCAATTGCGTTGCAAGATTGGATGTCTTCAGCTCAGCCCGCAAAACGTAAATGTCATCTACCGAGATTATACATATTGATTAGTTATTATCCGACAATGATGATCAGACCGTCGTTTAATGGTAAACTTGTCCGGTATTTTCCGTGATCAAACCACGGTCAGCACGTAAACTATCGAGTTCTGACTCCCCCGCCCCCTCTTCAAGTATTCGGTTCGGTCGCAGCTTCTGCCGGCAAATTTTAAGTTGGACGGCTTTGATGGGAAGTAACAATCCATACTAAAATCGGAACTGATTGGCGAAAGACTTGCTAAAAAAAATTGAAGCACGACCATTTCAACTCGCCGTTCACTGGGGTCCATCCGCAAATGGTAAAGGGTAGTGGAAGTTATCTTATCGATGTTGACTGTGTTTGAGGTCAGCAATCAGGCGTGAGGATTGGTTGAGGCCCCTTCCCTTCAGTGCGGGCTTGTGACAATATGCATATTGCCGTCAGTTAACTTACCATGGATCCTTCGTCGATGGAGTCCAAACTCATCACGGTTACATGGAAGTAGACCTGTGTAGCCTTCCCTGAAAACGGTTAAGTGCCAATGGTTACAAATGTGATAACAGTTTGTCAGCTTGCAAGTTGAATGCATTTCTTCATTTCCCGCACACTGTCCCGATTTATACTTGCCCAATCGTCCCATTGCAACATTCAGGGACTCACATGGGGGGATTATAAATACGAACACAGATAGCCAAAGCATACTCTACACTGCACATGTCTGATAAGCTGTATTTACATACACAGCGTCTCAGAGACGATGCCCCTGAGCCTCCCCGTGGATCGTCGCTGGCGGCGACTACATCTCGTCAGAACGAATGGTCCGGTCTCCATTTGGCAGCCAGCCAACTGGCATCCGTCTGCCGAGCACATATGTCTCGCGCCCCGCACCACGATGACATAGGCTGCCTCCGTGTGGAGGGCAACACTACCCAGGAAGTGCGGCGTGAACAACTAGCGACTGAATTAGTTAGTTAGCCGTTGGCTGTAACGATTGGTGTACCGAATCGTGGCTGAGTCACCGTTGTCAACGCGAAGTCGATTTTAGTGACGCTCAACGAACATGCATATTTTGCTCTTGGAACAATGAACATGGCTCATCTTTAGCAGTTTATCAGAAACAAAACAAAATGAACACAGCTGTTGATCACGCCAAATGCAATGCATGGCAGGACGTGCAAGCATGAATGCGAAAACAGTTATGCATGGAATGTGAGTGCTTAGCAGCTACCGCCATCGCAAATGCATCAGGATTCTTTTATTTCTTTTTTTATGACAATAACCAGATTTCTTCCTGGTTTCTCAATAATTCACTGGCCAAACATCACTATCTTGCTCGTGACTTCCAGAGCCCCCCGTGTCCCTACAGCTGCCGCGCCCCCACAGTAGGATAACCTTTTGCAGGCTGCAACAGTACGAGCGTCCGTGGACATGCCCGGACTCGCTCCCCACACGAGCTGGCACGAAGCACGCCATGCAGTCCCGTGAACCCCATGCCCAGTGACCTTCAGACGGGCGCTGCGGTCGGGTGGGCAGTGCAGACGAAGGGTGCAGGCGTGCGGCGCGACCGGACCAGGCGGCTCAAAGGTCGGGATCGCGGTCACGAGACGCAGCCTCCACCGGAAGAGCGCGGGAACTACCGGTGACACTTCTGAAAAACAGATAAACGACCGAGCCGCCCCGGCGCCAGTCGGCAGGCGCACCACGTGAAGCGCAGCTGCATGCGATGACGTGTTCGAACCTAGTGCCGTGTGCACCGGACGGGGGGATTTCCCCGCGGTACCCCGCCGGCGCCGTGGTGGCGCTCGTGAACCGTCGATAACAGACCCGTCGGGCTAGTAGTTGAGCCGCAGTGCGGGCGGGAGGTGCACGTGGCCTGATGAGGCGCGGGTCAGCTGGAATGGTAACCCTGTGTTCGGTAAAAGAAGACTTATACTGTGCTGCGACGAGCGGAGCGAAGCTGCTGCGGTCTCACAGACAGGTTTGTTACAGTTGTGGCTGCTGAATCGTCCCGGAGTACTGCATCGTTGCTTGAAGGGGACTGTAAAGCTGAAATAGCAAACCAGCTGCTGTGGGTACAACAGAAAAAGCGACTCTCGGCTCTAAGCTGGTGGTGTTACTGTCAAGATGGATCGAATCATCGGCATGCTGTGGCTCGTGCTGCTCCCCACAGTCACAGCAAGCCTCATGGTAACTGAGGATTCTGTGAGCAGCGGTAAATGGTTCAATGTCACCATAAGAGATGACATTACACCCGGCAACAAAACTATGGACGGCAATACCAGTGTCAACGAAATGATGGTCTTCGCGTCACGCTTCAACTACTCTCTAAACCTTCAAGCCATCAAGGTGATGATCCGCGGTAACATTGGGAAGCCGTCGCCGTCTGCCGAGGACCCACTGGTGGTCAGTGTACGAAACTGGGCAGGCGGACATACCATCTCGGTGCCGTACCTCACGTACGACAGACATGGTCAGATGCTGGCCATCCAGGATCACGCCACGCGCTACCTCTGCCCCGCCGAGCCCGGCCAGCCAGAGCATGCCATTGTGAGCGTCGGCACCGGGCACCTCCCCGCCAGCCAGTCGTTCCACTTCCAGGTAACGTTCCAGCGCATCGGCCACTGGAGCCTGACACTGGACGCGCCGGAGAAACTGCTGATTGAGCCACCGGACCCGGGCCTGTTCGCCTTCCGCTGGCCGGCGAAGGGCCCGCCCCAGCTGCTGCTGAAAGTCGACACCGTGCAGATGCCCCAGGTGTGCACCACAGTGGCGCTGCAGCCGCGCGTCTGTCCGCTGGCCCAGACGGAGGCCGAGCTGGTGACCGCGTCCACGTTCTTCACTATGTCCTCCGCAGGCGAGCTGGTCGTCGACCGGAAGCAATTCCCCGACGGATTCTATCTGCTGCTGCTGCCGCACGTCAACGACGTGCTCTGCGACCCGCATGCGCCACCGCTGACCAACATCACGCGCAAGAAGACGGTGATGGTGACACTGACGGAGCACCAGCTGCCGGTGAGCCTGCTGGCGGCACCGATCGTGCTGGCCGTGCTTCTGCTAGTTGCCGGCGCAGCCAGTGCGTGCCTGCTGAGGCGTGACCTGACGGCGCCGCGCCTCGACCTGGAGCCGGACGCGGAAACGGAGCGACCACGAGGCGGCTCGCTGACGCTCTCCGAGGACCTGCTGCTGGACGGTCAGATGGAGGAGGAGCCGACCCTGCAGGTGCAGGAGGCGCTGCCGGCCCGCTCGCCAGTCAGTCTGCTGATGGCGGCCGGCCTGCTACTGCTGGCGCTCGGCGGCGAGGCCGCGCTGACTGCGTTCCGCCTGCTACGTCGCTCCGGAGACCTGGACGTGTGTTACAGAAACGAGCTGTGCAGTCTCACCAGCGCTGGAGTGCCGGGACTGAACCACGTCGTGGCCCGGCTGCCGTACATAGGCGCCGGGCTGGGGCTGCTGATATGCCTGCGCGTCCAGAGAACCATCTACCGCAGAGTCACCATCGACGGCACTATCAAGATCGGGGCGCCACACGAGTGGAGTCTGCTGGAGGCGGCCGCGCTGGCCCTGGTCGCGCAGGGACTGCTCAGCGCTCTCCAGAGCACCTGTCCCGGGCCGACCAACGCGCCTCTGGACGCGGCGTTCATCTATTTTGCCCTGACCGCGATGGCGTGCAAGCTGTTCCAGACACGTCGCGGCGTCTGGGCGGCGGGCCACTACGCGCCGCTGCTGCTCACAGGAGCCCTGGTGCTCGCCGAGCTGGTGGAACAGCGTGCCGGTCACGAATGGTACGTCTGGGTAGTGCTGGGTTTGCTGCACATGCTGGCCACGGTGGTGATTGGTGTCCAGCTGTACGTGCTCGGCGAGATTTCCGCCGATCCGGGGGCTCTGCGCCGCGTCTGGGACAAGTCTCACCTACCGCGCGAGTCGCCCAACTTCCAGATCAACCGCGCCGCCTTCGCGCTCGTCATGCTGGTCAACCTTTCACTGGTCATCGGAGCGGGGGTCTCAAAGATGGCCGAGTTGAGCCACTACGCCATGCTCTTCTTCGCCATCCACGCGGTGCTGTTCGCGCTCTACTACCTGCTGCTGAAGCTGGTGAAGAGCGAGGAGAGCGCCGGACGCGTGTCGCTCCTGCTGCTGGCCATGGGACTGCTGCTGCTGGTGAGCGGAGTGGCCACGCTGGTCGGCTGGAGCACGATGAGCACGGGCAGCACGCCGGCCGTCTCCCGGCTGATGAGCCGGCCCTGTCTGCCTCACAGCCTGTTCGACACACACGACCTGTGGCACCTGCTGACGGCGCCGGCGCTGCTCTGTCTCGCCCTAGCCCTGATCCTGCTGGATGATAACCTACTGCTCACGCCGCGGCTGGAGATCACCCGCTTCTAGACGGCTCTCGGAGGGAAGCGGATTGTTCGTAACTTTGGGTGGGTTTCCCTGTTCAGGCCAGTGGCCCCGACGTCCGTCAGGCCGCTTATATGTGTGCTGTACCAGCCTGATGTGAGGTAAGAGCTACCTGAATCGTCTGTATAGATAAGCTTACGATTTCTGCTTGTATGGAAAATGTTCTATAAACATTTCTTTAGAAGATCAAATGGTCGGGAATGACTTCAAAAATCATACAACCTGACAATATTTGCTGTTTCACCGGTGGAAGTGAAAAACGTCATCACATAATGATAGCGTCGCGTACCTACGATTGTCAACTTGCCCAATTTATTTTGCGGGTAATCGTGGACTTTTCTTAATGACAAGTCCTCTGTTATTTAGGTATGTTTACCATTTGAAAAGGCCTTGAATATTCAGTTCATATGTATCATTATTTGTGCAATCAGTTAATCTGATTTTAGCAGAGCTATCGCCGACAATCGTGGTCTCATGGCCCCTGAAAACATCGGGGGCATGATGACATCATTATCATGACGTGATGTGATATGTTCAAGGAGATAGTGTGAAGTACCGATAACATGTGGAAACAAGTGTGTGCGTTAGATGTTGCTAACTCGGTAAAGCTAAAACGCCACGCTCGTAAATGAAAAATGTCATTTTGTTGGACAAAATGTGTCCTACGTGACCACGTGACATGTTCCATGTATCTGCCAGTTTGCGTGCCTAAATGATATGGAATATCAGGTGGTCGTAGTCAGACCTTTATGTTGATGTGCTATGCATCGTGCTTTCGTGCTCTAATACATCAACAAATGAAGCTGCTTTCAAGATGCGGAGTAATAAGCCAACTGATTCAGAGCTCATGAGCTCTAAACATTATGCGGGTAGTTGGTCCATGCTGGCCTTGTAAATTGGGTGCGTGGCAGCGGGAAACTGATACGACAGATTAATGCGCACTGCCCGCACCCCACTGGGGTCTGCGTATAGCGCGCCCAACTGGGGGGGGGGGCTATTCATAGCCCCCTCAACTCCAAAAAAACTCGACCGATTGCCAAAATTCAAACGGCGTCTAATAGCCCCGGAAAAACTGGCGAGCGAAACTTAATATTATGGACCTTGAGGTCACCGATGACGTCACAGGTCAAGTCAAAGTAAAAATTATCGATCTTTGGCTTGTTCACATTTTGGGCTTCGGTCGCCGGCTTACAAGTAAGATCAGGCTCATTTTTTATTTGTTAACTTGTGAATAGGTGGTTTAGATACCCTGAGAGTAACAAACTTGTACTTTGATTTTCAGGTCAGGATCAGCCTTCAGGTCATCACAGGTCACATAAATCTTATATCATGCATCGGTCAGTGAAGTGACACATGTTTTATGTTCCACTTATAGGCCATAGATTTCGAATTTGGTGTCGCCTGTGTCATTTGAGGCCATTTTCATCTGAATATAATTGAGGTCAGGTCACTTTCAGGTCAAAAAAGGTGAAATTTCAAAATTGATTCTTTTTTCAAGAACAATATGTCTATCGGATGCAGTTTGAGTTCAGGAACACGATGGTGCTATTCATATTGGTGTACGATGTCAAATTCGTACAGAAAACAAATTTGAAAAAAATTTAAAATTGTGAAATGTTTGCTATAATGCGCATAACTTGGCCATTTTTGAAGATATCTGGCTAAAACTTGCTAGAGTAAGTCATAAGCATGTGTTCTATCATATATATTTCGTTTAAGTAAAAAAAAATGAAAAAATATAAAAATACAAATTTAAAATTTTAATCGATATAATTTTCAAAATTTCCAAATTTTGAAAATTCGAGATAGCATTTTGATAGCGCAGTCCATTTTGAGTCCTCTTATGCAAAAACATTGAATCTAGCTAAAAAAACTGAGCTCTTGAGAGCGATTCCCGTGGTTCAATGTTTTGCGTCGAAATCGGCCGAACATGACGTCCCTCTGACGTCATTTTCGGCCGACCTATTATAGAATCGGAGTTCAAATTTTGACACAAGGTGTCAAATTGAGGCAGTCGAAGGTACTGAAAGTTTGGCGGCGATTCGTCAAGCGGTTTAGAACTTATTGCAGAAAAACGGGAGGGGGGCTATGAATACCCCCCTCCCCAGTGGGGCGCGGGTTAAGGTGAGAATCAGTGTAAAAATACAAATTTGGTCAATGAAACGACAAACACGACAAAAAAGCTAACACTCACCAACACACAACTAGGCAAACACTCAGCGTTAGCCCAATGGGCCATAGGAAGGGTCAAGCTCAGACTCCAATGAAAGAACCTGAAAAGAAAAGGCCAGCAAAGAAAGGCCTACAGGAAAACTCTAGCAGAGCGGCTAGCAAACTGAGTTGCAAAGGCAGAAGGAAATGCCAGCAATGGTGCAACGAAATACGAATAACGAAGAATCCTGAACTCAGTCAGCGCAGACCACAAACTCGGCAACCAAACTCGCTGCCTCCACAAGACGAGCTAACTAAAAAACAAGACCAAATGCACTGGCGGTCGCAGCCGCTAGCAAAAGGGGGGGCCAAAGTCACACTCGCGTGACATAACATTTATCCGTCACCGGGAGGGGGGGGGGGGGGTGATCGGCTAATTTTTTACGTCCACGAGGTGCCGCGCAGTTGGCATTACTTATGCTTCATCCATCTGATTCTTGCGTGAAATCTTTAAGCTCAATTTAAGGCAAAATCACCAGTTCCATTTCCCGTCCCACGGTGTTTCCACCGGTCGGCCCACTGCACCATGACGACGGATCGGTGTAGCATAGGTATACTGGAAGGTCAGGCACGCGGATTCATGACCTTACCACTATAAAACAATTCGGAAAAGTACAGATACCTCTTGCTTTGAACAAGCATGTGAAACCCAGAGAGCATTTTCAGACTATGACATTTACCTACCCATATAGGTAACATACCTAGTTGTGTGGCGGCGGGAGAGAGTAGGTACACCGACCTCTGGAGACCCCCCACAGGTTCCGAGCTTTCAAAATTGGCATCTGAGGGCCGCGCGCGACTCCTGCGGGGCTTCGCAACGGCTCTATTGGGGCTCACTCAACCTGCCTAGTCTTACTGCTAAAAAGACTGGCCCTGAGCCCTAAGGACTTCATCAGTCTCTGCCAGCCCCAGGACCCACACCGGCTCATGGGGTCCCGACGTCGAAATATGAGGGAATCTGAGCCGGACCATCAGGACGTAAAGTAATTTCGATCAGGACCAACGTAAGGCTGTGCCGGAGACTGCGTGAGCCCTCTGATCTTCAGAAACCCACCCATGTATCTTTTCACGTAGAGGCCAGTTTAGGGCCCTCAGAGACCAGTACAGGGCCTGCAAACTACAAAGGCCAGTAGTTTGAGACAATCAGTGACCGAGTTGGGCTCTCAGAGGCTAATGTGAGTCATTACAGGCCAACATGGGCCCTCAGAGGTCAGCGTGGGGCCCTAAAAGACCGGCATGAGCCGTCGTTGGACCCCAGAGGCCAGCAGAGGGCCCTCAAAGGCCAAGATGGGCCCTCCTCAGAGGCCAATGCAGACCCTTAGAGGCCGGCGTCGGGTCTTCAGCAGCCAGTGCGGGGCCCTGATTGGCACCTAAAGGTTCGTCTTGGGACACCACAGACAGAAATAAGGCCACCAGAGACCGGTGTGAGACCCTCAGACGCCGGTTGGGACCCCTGAGGCCGGTTAGGGGCCCTCATAGGCCAGATGTGGGGTCTCAGAGGTTGATGTAGGCTCTTAGCGGCCAACGTGGGCGCTTGACCGCCACTGAAGTTCCCTCAGAGGTCAGTGTAGGACGCTCAAAGACCGGTGTGGGAGCTATATTAATAGCTGGGCCGTGTTTTTTTTTAGCCTCGTGACGATCGAATAATTGCCAGGGCCCCATACACCTATGTGGGGGCCCATTGGTTGTTTGAGGGGGGGGGGGCAAATGATATGATGGCCCCCTTTATTGACCTTTGGGGGGGCATGGCCCTGATGCCCCCCCCCCCCCCGCGACCGCCACTGTGTACACATTACACACATATGCCACTGAGATTACATACTAGCTCATGCAAACTCTATGCAGGCCCCGGAGTTCCCACGCTAATCCTTAAGAAACCAAGCCGGCATGCGGCGTCACCACCGGGCTTCTGAGGTACACAGCACCAACCCATGAGGTCTTACGCCAATCTCCTTTAGCAGGGCCCACCCACCACTGCCGAAGAGGGTCTCATGCCAGACTTTGCTGGGCCTACGAGAGCCTCAAGTAAACCCACGCTGATATTTCATATAAGATCCGGCCATACTCGTGAACCGGTGCCAGAGACGCTGACCGCCAAATTGACAGAATGCGAAACTGAGCCCACTCATGAGTGAAATTTACGTCCTTTGATGGCGCAAGAAAGAAAATGAAACATACGAAAAGCTTTTCTAGGACTTTTGTTCGATCTGAAAGGTGGGGCCAAAAGATAGTATGGCCCCACCTTTCAGCACCAAAGGGGGGGCCATGGCCCCCGTGGCCCCCCCCCCCCCTGGGACCGCCAGTGACCAAATGGAACTTTCCGCCAATACAACTGGAACTTTCCACCCTTTCCACCACATGGCACCAGAAACGTCTTATTACACACAAAATCGCCGCGCCACGCTACCAAAGAAAGGTGGCAGCCCAAACTCCGTAGAAAAACTGGGCACGAAAGAAATACCTAGGGTAAGGTGCCTAATTAGCGACCCCCTTAATTTGAACCGTCATTGCTCACGCTCTGTGGGTGCCACTGTATTACTGGCTTGATTTTCGGAGAGATCGTTCATTTTTCTATTAAAATATAGTCATTTTCTGCCCAAATATTCACTAACTTATTTGTAGAGAGCATTTTGGCAAACCATTGCAAAAAACGCTAATAGGGAACTCTTCCCGATTAGCGACCGGGGAGGGTCGCTAATAAGTCTATGGGTTTCCCCATATTAAAAATGGCAAAAAAATGCGACGCCTGAAAAGATGAAATATGATCTCAAAAAGGTAACCTATACGCAAAGCACCCAATCACTCGAACATGCACGTTTATCCAACACATTTACGTAAGTAAAAACTGATCACGTGATGCACCGAAGGCGAAAAGAAGGTGGAAAGCCAAATTTTGCGGGCTATCTTGTATGATATTCGAGGTCCGCGCTGAATTCGGCAACCCTGCAGTCGGTGACGACATTTGGCATCCCCTGCCACACATTGCAAGCTTCAGCAACACCTCATTTTCATTTCTCTCTTTTCCCCTTTCTTTCCCTTCTTGAGCTATTTGCGACCATGTCAGGCGCAAATAGGAAATATGAGTTGCGACACATTTTTAACCGCCATGCTGTGCACAGTTGAGCGATTCACTATGGGAAAACGGCAATCAATTGAAAAAGGAATGTCGATTCAGAATAAAAAAGGTGCATCATCCTAATGTGCATCGCTTTTCATCAGAGAGGGCCCAAACACACACATTTTGGATAAGAAACTCGTCATTTTTATTTAAACTCACCTGAAACGTCCCACCAGAAACATCGACTACCGGAAAATAATTCAATTTGATAACCAAAGTATGGCTGACCTTTTGACGATGTTTTTACCCAGTTTTCTCCTGCCAGTTTTTCTGTAGGGAGGTAGGTCGCAAATCGGAAAGGGTCGCTAATTAGGCACCTTACCCTACTTATGTTCACTAGGCGGCAATAGAGGTATCGAACGACCACCAACCCTCGCCAGACAAGCATAGCATATGGCAGCACGGTCAACTCGCTGGCCGCCCCAATGTCGCGCCTCAATCCGCCACCCCCCCCCCCCTTTGAAGGCTTGATCAGATATTCGAGCCTCCAGAGGCAACAAGGCAAGTCAGCAAAAACCGTATCAGACACCGTAATACTGCAAGGCAAGACACGTCAAATCACGATCACCAAAAGGTCAAATTTTAAAGTTAACATTTTTCAACAACAAACTGTGTCTATCTGATGAAGTTTGAGGCCCGGAACATGAAGCTGCTATTCATATCTTTGTGTACCATGTCATATACATACTGAAAAGTCGATTTGAAAACTTCACAATAGTGAAATATGTGCTAAGTAATGCGTATAACTTGACTATTTTTGAAGATTTCTGGCTACAACTTGCTAGAGTATATCGTGGGCATGTGTTCTTTCACATATCTATAATCCGTTTTTTTTTTAACCCTCGCCCGTAAACGGCGATCTGCCACCTTCGCCCATGCAGGGGGGGGGGGTTGGTGCGACCCCCCCCCTTGGCGTTTGAAAACGGAGCGTCGTAGAGCTTAGCGGAAAAGACCAACGGATTGCTCTCGCCGAGATCTCGCGATTGGTGGTATATTTTTTGGTCCTAGGTCAACATTTGACCTACTTTTGACCGGTCAAAGGTCAAATTTTCGGAAAAATAGACTTTTTTCAAATTTCCGCGGCGATTGCGGCAAAACGGTAGGAGATATCGACTTGAAACCTTCACTATCGTGTTCCTTGATCAATTCTCTATCGTTTGGTATGTATTTCGTTTCCCTAGCTCTAAAAATGGCGCGTTGGGAGCGCCGGAAGTCGGCAAGGTCACAGTCGGCGGCAGAAATTCGAAAAATCAAAATTTTAATTTTTGAAATCTGATTGTATTTTTGGATTTGGGAGGTCCATTTGCTCCCTATAGAAGCTAATATTGCTGCATATTCCCATTGAGGTGACAAGAATTAGCAAAATAGTGGTTCGGGCGCTTTTCAAAAATAGTACCGGACGCTGTTCCTCTTGTGACGTCATAGCTCCGTGACCTGACCTGACCCGGTCAAGTTTCTTATACCATATGATAGCCAATACTTGCCCCAACATGCATGGGAAGTTTCATCACGATCCATCAACCGATGTCCGTACCACCGGCAGGAAACCTCTGGCGTTGGCACTCAGTTTGTGAAAATCCGGCCGGAGGCTGTTCCCTTTGTGACGTCATAACTCCGTGACCTGACATGACCTGGTCAATTTTTTTTTATCAAAAGATGCGCAAGGTTTGCCCCATAAGGTATCCAAAATTTGGCGCCTTGCACTATTTCCGAAAAACCTCAGGGGGGGGGGGGTTGCCTTGCACCAACCCCCCCTACATGGGCGAGGGTTAAGATGATACATAGACCTCTTATGGATGATAAAAATATAAATTTTGAAATTTAATGAATATGTCTTCAAAATGATCAATATTTTCCAACTCCGAGATAGCAGTTTGATAGCACAGTGTATTCTGTGTCGTCTCATACAAAGACAATCTAGCTCAAAAACTGAGCACTTGAGAGCAACTGCCGTAGTTCAATGTTTTGCGTCGAAATTGGGCGAACATAAAGTCACTATGACGTCATTTCCGGTCGACCTATGGTAGCTACGAAGTTAATAGTTTCACACAACGTGTCAAATTGATACAGCCAACGGTGCGGGAAGTTTCGCGTCGATACGTCAAGCGGTTTAGAAGTTATTGCAGAAAAACGAGAGTGGGGCTATGAATAGCCCCCCCCCCCCCCCAGTGGGGCGCAGGCTAATACCAAGATTTGTTCTTCAAGTACATACCTTTATATTTCGGAGGCCTCATTTTGTCGTAGAGATACTTGTTGCCTGGGAAGATATCGCTGAACTCCAGTGGACCCAGGGAATCCATTCCTTTTGGTCGACTGAAACAGCATTGTGAAAATGTCAGAAACAGTCCATGTTGCCGTCCAATAACCGTTGATCATATGACGCAATGATCAACGGCTATTTTTGCAATTCTGATAGCATATCTGTACGCATAGCATAATCGTCAGAGGTGCTGTGAACAGCAAATAGAGTGCACTGTAAGACATTCAAAGACATTGGTCAGTACCTATTGTGAACTTTGAGGACGCAGTGTTTACCAACATTCGAGTGCATCATAGACAAACACAAGACCGTATATCATTGATAATTCGCACTGCAAGCTAGCGGGTGTCAATATCTAGGTATAGGTGGCAGGTGCATTGGCGAAGCCTATCACAAGTCAAAACACGATCCCGAGCTATCAACTGAATGGGCAATGGAAAGAACTTGTCTAACAAGCACCGATTGGAAGCGGGTTATATCGTTCTGTTCGGTCGGTGGTTGATTTTAGTTCGGCTCAAAAGGTCGGCTCCGTTCTGAGTACCTACCCCTTTGTCTGCGTTCACCGCCGCGTCATCTGGCTCGGATCTGAGATCAGACCCATTGGAAATTAAAGCAGTGTCGGGCAGCAAAAGGTTGATGTCAATGGCAGATATTTATGGGTGCTGTGGGGAGTAGTCAGCCTGGGTGCGGCCCGCGGCTGCTAAATCAGTGGGGTGACTATGCCGTCACAGGCTCCATGCAGTTAGAATCTTCTAAAAGCGTTTTATTTGTAAGGAGTGTGGATAATTTGATATATGTAAATAACTAACTCAACACTCTGAGTGGATAGCTCACTCCAGCTTATGGCTGCCAATATTACTTTAGCGAAAGGTTAAGGCCTAAGTTGCTCTGGTTGCAATTTTTTGCTGATCATCATAACGGTTTGTGTTCATGTTCTACATTTCAGATGTTCAAATGAGAGTATTGTATGCTCCTTGAAATAGGAAATGATCCAGAAATGGCATCAAACGAAAAAGCAATTGTGAATATTTTTGTAGCTAGCGTCTGATATTATCTGTCAAGGTCACTCAAGGCAGGGTATTAATTGGCCCGGAGGAAAAATGCATTAACGTGAATAACAGAAATATTTAAACTAGCATAGAAGAAAAGCGGATGAGCTCGCATGGAAGATTATCCCTCGCATGTGTGCGGCGTTTGCCAGCTTCTAATGTGTAGGGGGGGGGGGTCGGTTGGACCCCCCCCTTGCCGTTTGGCCCCTGATCGAGCTAGAGCTTCGCGGAAAAACGAGCGTGTTGCCCGTGACGAGAGGAAGCCGATGATACCCAATTTTAAGGTCCTAGGTCATTGGTTGACCTTCCAGGTCAGGTCAATGACCCAAAGTCGGGAAAATCGGGACCTGTTAGAAAGTCGTAAAGTGTGGCTGCTAAGGGGTTTTTCTGGGTGCTGATCACGAATATCGTGTTAGTTTTGATCACAGATGATGTCTTGAAGCATTTAGACCAGGTCGGGTCAGGTCAGGTCAGGTCAACCAGTAGGCGTCGTGACGGGTATTCGTAGTACGTGTCAACCGCCTCTGACAGCTTCGTAACATGTTACGAAGTCACCAAAACTACTTCGTAAATGTTCAAATGGTTGCTAAATTCGAATTCAGCTCCAAAAACTAGCCTAGAAACATGTAAAACTCGAAAAAGTGACCCGAGGTCACCCGAGGTCACCAAAGGTCAATGACCTGACCTGACCTTCAGGTGACCTTGACACACACGGGAGTAACATCAAATCACATGTTTGAACGTTTGAAACCACGAAAAGCTTGCAACCACGCGGCTAGTGCGAGCCGACATACGCGAAATCGCGATTCCGGCCAAACATGGTCTCGGAAAAGAGGTCACAGGTCAAAGGTCATTTGGGTCAGGGTCATGAAATTTTCAGGGTAGGTGTAAAATTGATCAATGCGAGGGTACTGAAAGTTTCGTCGCGATCGGCCGCTTTTTACGCGAGTTATTCGCGAAAAACCATGGGGGGGTCCATCCGACCCCCCCCCCCCCCTACACATGCGAGGGTTAAGACTACATAGTTAGCAGCAATCAATGTAACATGGCGTATAATTATGCGCGTTTGCTCGGTTTGGCTGAGTGACGCTGCTGGACATTCTATATACCGTTCCTTAATTTCGCCCTCGTTCTCTCCCAGGTTTCTGGCTATTCCAATAAACGTTTGACTGTCTCGACAGCTCATCTCAGTCACGATAAGCTCTAAGAGATCATTTATGACCCGGGACGTGGGCTTAACGGTGTCTCCTGTATCCGGCCTGTTGCTCACTTCAGTCTGATTACCTGGCCGGCAGCGGGACACAGCAGCTACTCGTGGACGCTAGATTGCACGAAATTGCAGACGTACTGTTCTTAATGTTGCTGTTCGTTGTTCTCACGTCCAGAAATGGCAGTGCTATTGCGAGATAACACGAGGAACGACGGGAGATGGCGTTTCAGCTAGAAATGAAAATTGAATAACCTACAAGTAAAACAGAAAGACGAGGATGTAACTAGGAACATATTGTAATAAAGTTTTATTTTAATGTTTTTTTTTATAGAAAAAAGCATCAAACCGGTGTGCTAATGATTGGCACTATGATTTCGATAACATTTAGCGATAAATGCCATTTTTACTGTATGATCAATTCAATTACAATGTTTCTGACCGAACGGTAATTTAACCCTCGCATGTGTGCGGCGTTTGCCAGCTTCTAATGTGTAGGGGGGGGGGGTCGGTTGGACCCCCCCCCCCCTTGCCGTTTGGCCCCTGATCGAGCTAGAGCTTCGCGGAAAAAACGAGCGTGTTGCCCGTGACGAGAGGAAGCCGATGATACCCAATTTTAAGGTCCTAGGTCATTGGTTGACCTTCCAGGTCAGGTCAATGACCCAAAGTCGGGAAAATCGGGACCTGTTAGAAAGTCGTAAAGTGTGGCTGCTAAGGGGTTTTTCGGGGTGCTGATCACGAATATCGTGCTAGTTTTGATCACAGATGATGTCTTGAAGCATTTAGACCAGGTCTGGTCAGGTCAGGTCAGGTCAACCAGTAGGCGTCGTGACGGGTATTCGTAGTACGTGTCAACCGCCTCTGACAGCTTCGTAACATGTTACGAAGTCACCAAAACTACTTCGTAAATGTTCAAATGGTTGCTAAATTCAAATTCAGCTCCAAAAACTAGCCTAGAAACATGTAAAACTCGAAAAAGTGACCCGAGGTCACCCGAGGTCACCAAAGGTCAATGACCTGACCTGACCTTCAGGTGACCTTGACACACACGGGAGTAACATCAAATCACATGTTTGAACGTTTGAAACCACGAAAAGCTTGCAAACACGCGGCTAGTGCGAGCCGACATACGCGAAATCGCGATTCCGGCCAAACATGGTCTCGGAAAAGAGGTCACAGGTCAAAGGTCATTTGGGTCAGGGTCATGAAATTTTCAGGGTAGGTGTCAAATTGATCAATGCGAGGGTACTGAAAGTTTCGTCGCGATCGGCCGCTTTTTACGCGAGTTATTCGCGAAAAACCATGGGGGGGGTCCATCCGACCCCCCCCCCCTACACATGCGAGGGTTAAACAAAGTAAAATGTTAAATTTAAACAAAGTAAAATGTTACCAACGTCGGACGTCCCAAAAGACGATGTACCGATTATGTCAATTGACATCTATGTAGAAGTCAAGGTTGCGAGCTGTGACGTCATCTGTGTACCCGCCCTATGATATCATCGGCGGCCAATGGCACAGCCCGTCGAAGGAACAGGCGAGGGGGCGTGCTGAATGATGGCCGGAAAGTGGATGAACGATGGCCCCGCGAGCGTCGGTCGAGACACTATAACTGAGGCCATCGCTCAGGGACCGTCCTTGTACTAGGTCGTTCAAAAGGTAAGGTAAAATGTACCATAGTTCATTTATATGAGGAATTCAAGCAAAATAAAATATGCCATCTGAATCTTTTAACAATTTTCTACACAAACTTCGAAACTGTTTTTGGGAGTTTGGCTCATTGTCCGAACACGGTCGATGTGAAAACATTGATGCAGCAGAGTTCCGTTCTAAAAATACCCGGTTTGATGAGATGAGATGAGATGAGAGATGATTTATTTGAGCATCCATATTTACACTTGTCGAAACATTACGATTGGCGTAGAAGCGCTATGGCGCTTAAAACGAGACGCCGCTCGAAACACGTAGAAAGCAGACAATAACACTTCTAATCAAAAGTTTGTCACGCGAGCCAAAATTCACCTCAAAATGAGTGAGTTGACCCTGATGACGCTATTGCCATTAGCAATGCTTGCTGGTGAACAGTTGGTACGATTTCAACAAGAACACAGCAGCGTAAGAGACAAAGTTCTAGAGCAGGGACGGGACAGGGTAGACTTTTGCCCGCAGGCCTCTCTGGACTTGGCACAATCTGTAAAGTCGGGGAGCTGATTATGGAGACCCGGAGCATCTGCGTGACTGCTTTCATTAACAGGGTGAAGTGTTAGGTCGGAACAGTTCTAGGCATCATCAGATATGCTTGATATTTACAAGGTCATCACGAGGTGAGCTCACTGAACAACAGAAGGACGCCCAGCAAGACATCAGTGTGGGATCGGCTTTGCTTTAGCAGTACATACAGGAAAGCTGAAGTACAGCCGTGGTCTGGCGCCGTCCCACTTGAACCTGTTTGGATAACCGGAATCTTAACTGATCAGGCAATCGATAAAATAATCAAGACATGGCTTTGGAATAGCAATAAGGAGTTTTCCAAGCAGGATTTCAACGCCGGGTGGAGTGCTGGGATAAGCGCGTGCGCCTGAACGGTGATTAGATGTAGGTGCCAGTTCCGAAGGCCTGGGAGGCTGTCCCGAAGAGACCTGCTAACAAATGCTTATAGCCAATTTGTAGACGATATTTCAATGAAGATATGTTGCTAGTTTTGTGTCGTTGCATTAAATGTGGACTGAAATACGTGTGATTTTACCTTACTTATTGAACGACGGATTAAGCATACTGCCTGCACAGTACCTACCTGTGTGGCCTTCTAATGGTGCCAACAGGGCAAAGGGAAGTGTGAGGCGTTGTCGATACAGGTGGTGACGCGGGGTGAAATTGGGCATACTCAACTTGTGATAGTCTCACGGTGACATGTGTCGACAGCAGCAATAACGGTTTGAACTTTAGTCGAGAATACGAGGTCACGAGGATGAGAGGGAATTACCGCAGTTCACATGATGTGTTCCGGGGAGACACCATTTTCTCGTCAACACCGAGGTCCCTGAGAGCTAATTTACCCTCCACTCATCACCTGGGCTTTGATGTCATCCTGTTTACTCGTATATGAGTCCTGGGGAGTTACCATCCTATCACAGTTACCTGAGTCCCGGCGAGGCGTCATCTTCTGCACCTTGTTCGGCAGTGGCCGCCGGGGAGAGGGCCAACAGGACCTCGGGCACGACGGCCACCGGCATCATCGCCAGCATCAGCAGAGGAGCCGTCGCCCGCGCGGCCACCATGTCCTGCCGCAGGGAGGAGATGGTAATGGTCATACCATGTCTTGTTGCAAGAAAGGAAATGATTTATGGTCATACGATGTCTTGTTGTAAGAAAGGAGAGGGGTTAATGGTCATACGATGCTATCGGCTGGGGGGAGTGTTATACCTACACAGGAGACACGGGATCCGGATATAGCAAACATACGACAAGGGATGTGCTGACTGCTGAGCAGTGACTATGATCAAAGTGTAATGCAAATGTGTGGTAAAAAGGCAGGTACATATCTTCGATTAACTGAATCCCCAACAAAAATGCATTTTGTAACGTATATGCAGTAAGCACATTTGACTTATTTGTCAAGCAAACTCACCTGGCGTATTTATCGCACTTATCGCCGTGTAACCATGCCGTTTTTCGTCAACTACATTATCAGCTCAACCAAGGTAAACACGAGTCTGAAGAAGAAAAAAAAAACGATGACCCTGCTCCAATCAATCGTCTGGCTCTGGGTGCGTTGGTCGCTCCATGCACGGCCGGTCTCCGCTGCCGTCTCGGTGCGGTCGGCGGCTGCGCCCAGCCGGGCCGATTTCCCTTCGGATCTAGCCGCACCCGGGGAGAGCCACCTGGGACCGGCTGGGCCTCACAGAGGAGGAGGCGAATAGAAAACACGCCCAGCTGGGCCGCATCCCCAGCTGGGCCCGGCGTGCAGTGCCACGGTCTGCCCGATGACACGATAATTCAACGGAAATGTTTGCCGCACATCGGCCATGCATACCAAGGTGTTTGATTTACAGCAAGATATCGATTCATAGCTTGGTGAAGGACATTTCTTTGCATATTACTAAAGATAACTACTTCATCTAAAAAGTTACATGAGCTGAAGTCAACTGATACAGCTGATCACTGAGCAGCTTCTACGCCATCATAGCGCCAACCCTGCCCAGCCGAGCGACCTTTCTTGGGGCCGAAGCGGCGGCGGAGCCCCGATAAGCCCACCGCGACGCACCTGGGTGTCTCAGGGGTGGTCTTATCGGTGCCTGCCGATGCGTGCTGAGACTGGGGCTTATAGCGAGCGGCTGTCAGAGCCACGGTGACTGTTGGCTCTCCTGAGAGTGCCGCGCTCAGCGACCGGATGGCGACGAGCGCTGAACAGTGCAGTTAGGAAATTGTCCCATTTCTGCGACATTTGTTTGGGGATCGACACTGGCCGGATATTATGCGCATCCTATTGAAAGTTTGGCCATTGGTTTCTTTCGCATGTTTGCTTGCGTCAATACAGATGCCAAGATCGCATGTTTCATTTGAAGAGGAAGACGCTAAACAGCTGTCCAATCTATGGCTGATATAATCAGCAACCCATGTACACACAGAAAAATATTGACACCGTTAGCGGTGTAATTGCACAGTACATATCTGAGCACTTGAGGAAAGTTAACCCGCGCCCCGTAGGGGGGGGGGCCGAAACGGCCCCCCCCCTGTCCTTTTCGGTCGATATCTCCTAAACGGCTGGAGATATCGCCACTAAACTTTCAGGACCCCTCTGGGCATCAATTTTACACATTGTGACCAAAATTTTTTCCAGAGGCTGTGATAGGTTGGCCACAAATGACGTCAGAGTGACGTCATGTTCTATCATTTTCGACCGAAAAAAGACCTTCGCGAGAAGACCTGTCAGGCCTACAGCTTTGAAGATACAGAAAAATAATCAAGACATAAAAGGTGTAGAATTGACAGGGCTACAAAACTGCTATCTCGGATTTTTGAAATTTTTGAGTTTTGATCCCCAAAAATCAAAAAAGCATTTTTTTGGATATATTAGACAAAAAATCCAAAAAGTTTTTTGAGTTTCGAAAAAACCGGAATATATGTGATAGTACCTACCGTCTTCTATCTACATACCAAATTTCAGATCGATACCTCGTTTTTTGGCCAAGTTATAGCGAAAAAACTGTTCAAAAATGATGACGTCAAATTTTCAAACTCAATTTTTGGCAATTCTAGAACCCGTAGAGCAAAACAAAGACCACCATTAGACTCCCCGTGACGAGCTGCATCGAATGAATACCCATTTTATGCAAAAATATCAACTTTGAAATTTGACCTAATTTGACCTGACCTTGACCTGACCTTCACCAAAACGTGACCTAGGCTGGCCCCAAAGGCTGCCTAACCCACATAATCGCATTTGTCATGTAAAATGGACCATAAAACATGTATCACACGACACATTCATATTGTGACCCCCGGTGACCTGACCTCGCTGTGACCTGACCTGGTATCAGTGACCTCAGATAGCAAAGTATGTGTTTGACGAACAATATACCATCGATGGTTTTCAATAAATTACCAATTTACTCGATTTCACAGCACATTTCTTGAATTGCCTGTGAACGGTGAAAATCTGACCTTTGACCTGACCTGTGACGTCATCGGTTTGACCTAGGTCAATGAAATTTGGTCACAAGGTAGTTCCCGGGTAGGGCTATCAAACGCCGTTTGAATTTTGAAAATCGGCCGGTAAATTTCCGAGATCTTAGGGGGGGCCGAAACGGCCCCCCCCCCCCCCTACGGGTGGTAGGGTCCGCCGGTAGCCCTACGGGGCGCGGGTTAATTTAGTCCCTTCCCCGCTTAAATTACTCGCGCTTCTAAATGAACACCAGGAAGAAGGTAATAGAACACTGTTAGGAGGGTTGGGTGTTTTACTACATGTAGCAAAACACCCAACCCTCCTAACAGTGTTCTATTACCTTCTTCCTGGTGTTCATTTAGAAGCGCGAGTAATTTAAGCGGGGAAGGGACTAAATTAACTTTCCGCAAGTGCTCAGATATGTACTGTGCAATTACACCGCTAACGGTGTTAATATTTTTCTGTGTGTAGTAGCAAGTCAAATGGAAAATACCACCTGGGCTTATAGTAGGTAAAGTCCAATTTTATTTTTCAAGATATAGGTAAAAGACATTACGCGTATGGCACGTCAGGTGCCCTAACCGAGTAGGCCGTCGGAAGATCTTACGTCGAAAGATATCGTCAGCCTCGTTTTTTTATATCGCCGAGTTGTTTAGAACATTTGGTGAAAATAGCTTTGCAAATAGCTTTGAAATATAGCTTTGAAAATAGCTTCTGTTTTGTGGGTATGAAAAATGTTGTCGAAATGAAATAACACATTTCTCACGCGTTTAATCATTTTTTATACACTTTTGTACCACAGATTTTCGCCGTACTCAGGGTCGGCTAGGAAAACACCCACTCGAGAGATTGGCATTGACAAAATGGAGCCTTAGTAGGAGTTGCAGTCGTCGGAGACAGACTGCTGAAAGCCTACGACAGCTCACACAAAAATAGCGACCTTGTGAAGGCCTCGAGAAAAACGTCGCCTCTGAACGCAATGGTGAAGGGTCGCTAGCAGACTGGCGTGTAATCGATACTGCGCTTCTGATCTAATATTTGCTGAAGACCCAGCAAGGTGCACAATTTCAACATAGAAGACGCGAAGTGAACACTGAACATTTAAAACAGTAACTGCTTCTACGCGGCATGCTTCGATTATATATTCGATGTAACTAATAATTATTTATGCAGAGTGTTTATCCAAAACGAAGAAAGGCTTGACAAAGATCTAACTGATACTCAGATTGAGAGATTCTCATTCACCTGACACTGAACAGTGAACACAAAGTGCGTTGTGTTCAATCCCGTCAGCCAATTCTATCGTGTTATTACAAAATGAGCGTGCGCGGCCTTTGCAGTAGGTATAGATGCCGTACTTCAGATAGATGCCATATTTCGTTCGGTTGGAAACTGTGCCCATGTTTGTGAAAAGAAGCATCAAGCTGCTCTCTATAAGGTCATAATTGCACATGATGTCAAGGTCGCAATCCCTAGGTCAGCCGGCGACTGGAGCGTTTAGGTGAAAAGCTAGAACTTCTTTTGGGTGAAGCTTGTGCGTTTCCACGAATTCTGGGCCCTGTTTCACCGGTGATAGCAGCACGCTACTATCAAATTGTGCGAGCTGACTTAATGTGATGACGTCACACTAATGACGTTTCGTTTAATCCGTGAGCTTTTTCATAGCTACATACGTTTGGAACAGAGTTGCTGTCTCGTTGAATGCGTTTGATACATTCGCACAGCCGTAAAGATGTTAGCAGCAATATTTGATGACGTCACACAGATTGACGCCGGCATGGTTTGTTGATGTTTCCATGGAAACCCAATTTGACACGTGTGATAGCAGCGTGCTGCTATCACCGGTAAACCAGGGCCCTGGACTGAAATTCACTCATTGACTGTCAAAGCTTCGATTTGCCGCATTCCATTTCCACATAAAGCAAAAGGAAATTGAGCAGGCCCGAGTACCCTCGACCTTCATTAGATTCATTGCTCGATATGCCATATATTGAAATGGGTTCCATCACTGATGCCTGAATGTCTATTAGCATCCGCTAAACCAATCAAACATATCCACACAAATGAATTTCAGAGCACCATAACGATCTACGGTAAAGTCCGCTGTTGAAACGGGGGTTCGTCCGAAATGATTCCTCTGAAGAGTGGGCTGGACCTGCTGTTCAGACACGTGGGCAGACCTGCGTCAGAGGATAGCGAAGCGATGTGCGCTGTCGGCTGCCGCTTATGTTCCAATTTGCTGGTGGATGGTGATGATTTGGAGAAATGGGACATGAACAAGGAAATAGTCATTAGTCAGGGTATGTGCGTTGTGCATATGCATTGATAAAGCGACAAATCTCAGCAGCATAAAAGCTTAGTTCCATGAGTACCTATTAAATAAATATGGACATTGATTTCCGAAACAGTCCCATATTGTTTGAGCACCCACATCCACACTGCATTTGGATTCACAGATCCGGAAAGAATCTGTCCCCATCTATCTGTGAAATTTTGGACACAGAAATGCAGCACTTGTTGACTGAGTATTTACGCATGTGTCATTTTAACCCATCATCTGCACCACACCAGTCAGCACCACGATGACGCCATGACGGATGTTCGTGCCGCGA